ATTTATATATAAATACTCTGTACAAAAAACTGTATAAATACTCTGCCTCCCATTCTCAAGCTGGACAGATAATCTACTTCTATGAGAAAGATGATGACAACACTTTAAAGTTTTAATGTTGGGACAAAGTGATTCACTCCTTCTGGTCAGTATTTAGGCTGGTTGCTCTATTTCGATTTCTTAAATGAAAAAATTACGTAAGACTATTACATAGTCTATTATATAGACTATATAAGGCAGGATGCTCTGGCTATACAAGAATTAAAAGCAGTAATCTGCTATCAATGATTTACTAAGAAGCAAATTAAAACCTTATGAGACTTTAAATGGAATTTGGAAGATTTCTTGCTTGTTGCCCATAGCCAGTGTCCAGTTGTTACTGAAGGATTTGAAATAGTGTTAATAACCATGCAAAACAACATAAATACTGTTACATTTAAATGTCAAGCAGTAAAAGAATTCACTAACTAGTGCAGAAGCCAACATATTAACCAAATATGTCCAGTTAAAGAAATGGCACCAGTGAGGCATTTTCAGCACCTCAGAGCTCTAAAACCAAATGGTGAGAAAACCAAATCTGTGAACTACCAGAAAAAAAACCTTTCAACTTGACTGTGAGCTGACTGCTAATATGATATTGCAGGTTGAGTGCTACAAAACATTCAAAAAGAAACTAAATGTTTTGGAAAACAAGTGCTTGCAAAAGCTTGCATACTGGGAATGGAAATAGTTTCTTTACTAACACAGGCACCGTGAGAAATCACCAGTCAGTGGCTTGGACATATTTTGGTCTTGTCCTCCAAATTATACAACAGAATGTCTCCTGCAGGAGTTACTGGGTGGAAGAATGGTCACAAGCAGCAATCAGCAACAGGCAGGTGGGGGGAACTGATTGCAGATAACGCTCCCAGTAAAGGATTCAGACATACTTCAAGTGGCATTTACAACTGCATTCATGTGCCCTACAATATATCACAGTCCTCAAGGGGAGATCTTTTACACCACCCTGCTGCAAAATATTTGTGGGTCAGCTCGGCTTATCGGCCTCCTTGGCATCTGAGCTCAGCTCATCCTTGTCAGACACACCTTAGTCAAGAGGTTAAAATGCTTTCCTCAGTTAAATTTCCCTGACTGTGTGGGCTCCCTCAGCACTAATCTACATGTGCTGGTTGATTTCTCCAGTTTTCTGATGAGCCCTCCCCTTCCCAAGCACTCAGCCCAGGCCACTCCATCCAGACCTGGCCCCTGAGTCAGTTCACACATGACTTGTGCCTTGCCTGTCAGGTTTTCCTTGCTTCTGACACACTGTCCTTGCCCAGCTGCCTTGCCTTGCTCCATCCCTGTTCCATACACTCCAATACTGGAGCTGCAGCTCTGCTCCCCACCTGAGGCTGCTTTGCTCCCAGATGCAATTCCTGTCATTTATCCCATTAATGGGGTTGGGACCTCATCAATACCCCAGTACCATTCTCATCACTGTGGGTCCTGTCCCAGCCTCAGAGCCTTACCCTGCACTTCCCACCTCTCCTTGAAAATGATTTTATTTCCCTCTTGAGTGCAGGGACAGGAAACAGAAAAACAGCAAAGGCAACACAATAAGCCCAGAGCAATTCTGTCTGCAGCTCTGGGCATGGAAATTTCAGTCTGGCTGCTTTCCAGGGAAGCCCTGAGACCACACTGCATTCTCAGACCTCTCTGACCCTCTCGAGCAGCCAAATACCCAACCCTTTCCTTGGCACTCGAGCTAATTTCCCCAGCAGTTCATTCACCACTGCGTGGGTTAATTGTGGTGCTGATTGTCTACCCCTGTACACATACAGTCCATCGCACGTCTCACTATGTGTCATTTTCCTCAGCGAGGCGTTACTTCTTTTTAATTTACGCCAAAGCCAAAGAAGCCACCTCCACTATTGTTTCCTTTCACAGCTTGCTTTTTTATTTCACAACTGTGGTCGTGTTTGCACAGTGGTGTTGCTACAGAAAGCTGATCCTGAATGTCACTTTGCTCATTGTGAATCTCTGTGTTTTGACTCTCAGAGGTTTTATCCTTTTCTACTAAACCTGCACCTTTTTCCAAAAGTGAAATGGAAAGTGATTGACTTATGGGATTATGAGCACTTTGGTTCCTGGATTGGTACTTAATTTGTTAGTTCTTCCCCAGCTCTTCATCCACCCCTGAGCTGGGCTTGTGCAGGGACAAAGTCAGAACTGGTCACAGCACCAAGCCTACCAGAGTTCAAGAAGTGTTTAGACAGCGTTCTCAGACACACAGAATATTCATTGTCTGTAGTGCTCTTTGGTATTTTCTTTGTTGATCAGTTTTAAAAAGATAAAAACCTCACACGTAGGTTGTGTGATTAAAGTGTAAAACACTTATTATGTTGTTTAGTGTGGTGCTGTTAGGAGCAGTTTATACTGTATTGTGCAAGAAGCCTTTGAACCCCTATTTAAAAAAACAAACAAACAAACAAAAACAACCCAAACCAAGCAGCAAAACACTAAAAGAAACAGACCATTCAATAACCAGCATTTATTTGCAAGATATATGAAATACTTTTTAATATAGGTGTAAAAATATCAAGCAACTGTACATCACAAAAACAATTTTATTCAGGTACGGCCATGTGAAGATGGCACCTCTTTGTTCACAAAGTGAACCCATTTTCCCCCAGCCACCCCAGTGAGCAGATTTCCCCCTCAAGTCTGGTGCACAGTATCTCATGAGTAATATTTGGAGGGAAATGGGCTCTCTTTGAGGGGCAGGATTTGCTTGGCAAACTGGGATCTTGGCACAGCTCAGCTCTGGAGAGGAAGGATCCTTTGTGCCTGGCTCCGCTCCAGCCATGCACTCATCACAGGCAAACTGATGCTTATCCCTCCAAAAAATAAACAAACACATCAATAGAGAAGAACTCCAGTCTCAGCATGTCCTCAGAAACCACAAACCAACGCCATCAATCCTGCCCTGTAACAGAGCAATTCGACATTCCTCTGGGCATTGTTGACTTTCCACAGCAGCCCCGGCTCTGCAAAACCAAACACCTTCAGCTGAGCTCCCTGGAAAGATCTGTTCGAAGCTGTTTCTAAACCAAATCTAGCTTCCACTTGACTGATGTGAGTTTTGATAAATTCCTTCTTTGATAAGAAGGATATTTAGATCAGACCCACCCACGCTGGAATGCAGGCATTGGCTTTATCCCAGATTATTTCACCCTGTATTGGAAAGTGTGGAGTCACTGACCTGGAGAAATGCATTCTGCTGGGTTGCCCTAGGACAGGTGGAGTTGGAGACACCACCAGTACATCACAAACATTTCTGCTGTCCCAACAAGCCACCATGCCCTAAGTCTGATCACTTTGCTTGTCAACCATGTCAAGACCCACACCAGTCATGCCGCTATCTCTGACAAAGGCAGCAAGTTGAAATCTAGACTTGATTGCACTTTCATGGGACTGTTATGACCTAGAAATAGGTAAGCCCACATGTATCCAGCACTTCACTTGTGATGCACCCTGCCACATCTCTGAAGTCTCCTCAGAACAGATTTCCCTGCTGTTACTTTTGAGTAGTTTTAGCTCCCTGAGCTCCTGGGCAGACCCAGGAGGATTCATGAGAGAACTGTAATCCTTGCATGAGTGGATCGAGTACAACTTATTGAACAGACTCTTCTGAGCACTTACCAAAGCTGAGAACCAGATCTCTCCATCCATCCCACCTTCCCTGAAAGGGTTGTTTATCCAAGAAACAAGCCCATATGATGCATCCAGCCAAATGCACAGTCCAAAAATCCTGCTTTTCATACCAAACTGCAGGCACATGTACAGGGTACCTGCATTTCTCTATATTTTCTATATATTGCAAAAGAAAAAGGTAAAAAGCAGAAAAAAGCTTTAGAAATTATTTTTTTCTTTCCACTGAAAAGGGTAAGTGATAGCACTTTCAGTTCAACTACTACATCAGAGTGTTGAAGCAGCTCTCAGAGAGACCCACAAAGGAATGGTTGATGATGATGCAAACATGGTCCCAGCTTAAGCTTCACTGCCCTTGGAGTAGGTGTTGGTTCTGACCAGTGTGTTCCGTCTAGAACTGTAAGACATATCTTCATAAACCACATTTGGGGGTTTTTTTGAAGTATTTCTTTATCTGCAAAACAGAGAAAACAGCCATCCAGAACAGAACCTGAAAAGGATCCCAACAAGGGAGTCCATTTTCATCTTAGGAGTCCATCTACATCTTTAGGAGTCTAACACTTGGAAGAGGAAATGTACTTTAAAAATTCCTTTCACAACACAGTGAGGGTTTAGAGGACCAAGTGGAAATTATCAACCTATTTATTTAACTTTCTATTGTCAGTTTGATGCAGTTTCACCAAAAAGTTCCTTCAGGATTTGGATGTAACTGTAGCTCCTACAGAAATAAGGCTCATTCCTAGTCTGTTACTGGTGACATGAGAGACCAGTTCCCACAGGGCCACTGAGCTTTGACAGAATGATGTTGTACTGCTGGTTTTTAGCAGTGCTGAAGCCACATGTGGAGACACAAGACACGAGCCTGTGAATCACACAATGTTAATTTTCAGTAATCTTTATGGAGTAGAAGAATCCATCAGAGACAAATAATTTCTGGGCACTTTTTGCAGTACATGAATATAAATAATCCCAGTAAAGGGAAAAAAATTGGGATTTTTTTTTTTCTAGAAGGGGGCAAAATTTTTCTCCCAGTGCTGCTTTCAGACATCAGGCTATTTATGACTTCTTGTTGCCTTTGTGTCCCCCTCCAAACATTCTCTCACATCTCTTACAAGCTTACCATGTCCAACTCCACTCCCAATTTACATAAAACTTTTAAAAAAGGACACTGAGGTGCTTTGCCCAGTGAGGTACACACATGGCTGTGTTGTTGACCATGTGGCTCACTTGAGGTTTGTTATCAAAAGGCAAACAATACCTCATTAACAAAGAGTTACAGAAACATAAACCACTGTGTTTACTGTAAGGGTTTACAGCTGGGAGACATTAAACAAAGGCAAATAGGAAACAGTAGAAAGCCACAGTTCTTTAGGTTTATCAAAAGTTTGCTTCACTCAGTCCCTGTTTACAAATAATTGGCTCAGCCCTGGACACAGTTTTGCTTTGGCATGGTGAGAGCATACTTACATTGACACGGTACAAGGTGCAGCACACCAGTGCACAAAGCAGTAGTACCACCAGGATGAGGAGAGAATAGATGACCCAGGAACTATCACTGCATGCCTGCTGGGAGTGTGCCTGCCCCCCTTCTGCACCTAAAATTACACTGTTATTATTATCATCGTCATCAACAACATTATCATTGTATGAAGAGGTAGAATTTAATTTTTTATTAAAAAATATATATTTACAGGTCAAGAAAAAAATCAGATATCAACAGCCACACAGCCACATTTGTAATTCCATTAGTATTCTCAGTGGCATTCCCTGGGCTCTTCCAGAGGCTGGTGATGGCTGCAGGTGGCATGGGAAGGGTCAGCAAGGAGCACTCTACAAAGGCAGAAGCTTCCACACCACTGAGCAGAAGTAGGAGCACACACTCGTGATGGGAACAGAAAATGTTTTACTCTGAGGGCTCAGAAGGAATTGTCTAACAACCAGCTCGTGAGTGGCACAGACAGAACCAGGAGGGTACTGTGATTTGCTGTACTCCACTGAGCAGAACAGTGCTAGTGGAAAAGCTTCCAGCTTTCTAAAACCTCAGTTCATCCATATCTGAATAACATCATCCCCCTGCTGCTTTGGTGTGCTGCTGTCATTCTCCCCAACTCACTTCACTGAGCTGTCGCCCCAGTTGTGGGTGGCAGCACAAAATGAGACCACAGTCATCTTTGCAGACTGCAGGTAGATCCTGTGCAGCTCTCAGGGCCTTTGTAAACCTTATTTTAAAAAGACCTCAGCAAAGCCCAGTGCCCAGGGTTGAACTGCACCAGTAAGATCAAAACCAAGCGCTACATTTCTGGTTCTGTCTTCGGCAAAGCAAACGGTGACAGCACCATCCTGCAGAAAAATAAATCCCCTCTTTGGAGCACACAGAGTGCTCAGTGTGTAATAATGATCTGTGGGGCTTGAAGTACATGCCTCAGGACTTGTTCTGTGCTCCCCAGTGTGACCTATTTTTAAACACAAAGACTCGCTGTCGGGAGTTGTTTCTAAAAGACATCGATGTCACATTAAGATCAAAGAACTGCTGCTGAAAATACTTATTCATATCCTAAAACTGACAGATCATTCACGCATACAGCGAAATGTTTGTTATCTTATTTTGACCTTTTTTAATTCTTTGAAGATGCAGGATTATAGCAAGTTTTCTCTTCTGAAATGCCCTCTGGTTGGTTATACAAGGCAGGTGGAAACACAGTGCCTTCCAAGCCTTCAAGCATAACAGGACACTGATGAGTCTGAGCCCACTCTCCAAACTTTCCCAGGTACTGGATGAAGCCTCCCCAGGGATTAGTGCTTTACCTGTCCTGACTAGATTTCTGCAAGCTCCTTGTCCACCTTTTGCATTACAAGATGCTATGATTAAGCAAGCAAAAGTAACATACCTTTAACCAGCAGCAAGGTGCCATCTGCTGAGAGGAGATGGGTATTTTTTACATTTTTCACCTCCTCAGCACAGACATAGTTATCACTGTCGTTTTCCTGCAGGTTATGTAGAATTATCACTATTTGCTTCCCTTCCTTTGAATACTCCAAGCGACCAGTAAAGGCAGGCAAAATCCTGGCAGTATTCTCATTTGACACATACAGAACCCTTTCAGGCTGCACAAGAGTCCTGAGCAGGTAGATCCCTCCATCTCCACGTGAGCTGTTCATCACACAGGTGATGTTGACAGACTGGCCTTGCTGAGGGCTGGCATAGAGCGGTGACTGCTTCAAAGCCCCATCAGTTTTAGCTGAAAACAAGAGAGATTAATGGCTATCACATAATTAAGAGGGTGCATTTTAACTAGGGAGCAAATGTAGAGGTCACAGGTAGAAAGAACAGACGCAAGAAATTTAGGTAGAATTAATTTTTTAACAGGCTACCTTTACATGTGCCTTGAGAAGAAGGATCAGAATCAAAAAGAGGTATAAAGTGAGTAACTTGTAAAATAATTTGAAGAAACAGTACACAATAAACAAGATGGAATTCATCTGAGAAAACAGAGCCAAGAAGTTTGAAAAGAGAAGCCTAAGGAAGAACGTGATAATTCCTCATGGATATAAATTACAATTGCTGATCCAGCAATCAAATAGATTTCATGTGCCTTGGGGACGGGAAAGGAGGAAAACTCCAAGTTTTGGTAAAGATGTTTCTCATCAGATGGTCTCATCAGAAGGATAGGTACATAAAGGAATAAGCTGCCACAGAATAATGGGGACACAAACCCTCTTCTAATGCCAAAAAAATAAAGACAGAAAAATTGTTCCCCCAACCACAAAAATCTGCCAAAGGGAGCACTTGTGCCCATTCATCAACTCTTTATTTAGAATGGAAAAACCCTTTACCTACTCATGTCCAACTTGCAGACCCTGCCTAGCACCAGCTCCCAATAATTACCAATATGTCATTTAAGGTTAAAGAGTAAAAACAAAAGAGATTTGCAAAAACTGCTATCAAAAAAAAAAAAAAAAAAAAAGAGACTAATTTCTCTGCTAGTTAATCATAAGGATTTAACAGATTGTTTTGGAAAAAGAGCTCTAGGTCATCACTGTTTCCAAACTGCTGCAGCTGCCTATGACTAATAGGTGAAAACGTGTAACTAGAATTAAATCAGTCACAAATTGTTCTAGGGTGGATGGGGTTTTTTGGTACTGTACTATCTAATGTGCTTTTTTCAATGTTTCAGGGACTAGACCCACACTTTCCTTCAAATCTGTTAATGACCTGAGCAGACACAGGTATGGTTCTGTCAGACTCTCCCTCCCACTGTTCTTGCTTCCAACCTTTGATTTAAAATACAGATCTGTATTTAATAATTCATGGCATAAAAGGTGGAATTGCAATACCTTTCACCACTACTATGGTTCTCTTCCCATCCAATACTTCGTGATGGTTATTGACTGTAACATACTCAATGCATAGGTAGATATTGGAGTCAGATTCCTGTACATTGTGCAAAGTTGTCCTGTAATTCCTTCCTTCCCTTGAACACTCGGTGCGACCAGCCAAATCAGGAGAGATATTTGGAGGATTGTCCATGGAAAAATATACCATATTGACTGTCTTTCTGCTACTTTTCAAGTACATTCCCAGGTGCTTTCCAAAACCACTGATTGGGCAAGTTATGCTGATGGAGTCTCCTTCCCAAACACTGATAACATCTGTTGACTGTTCGTTTTCTCCACCTAAAGATAAGAAATGCAATTGAGATGGTAATACCAGAGTTCTTACTGATTTTTTAATATCAAACTACTCCATCAACAGAACCGCTCTGTAAGGCTGGACTGGTCTTGCTGTGCTGTGTATGTCATCTCTTGGCTGCCCTGAACCCTGTAGTGCCTTTCATGCCCATTGACCTGTTCAACTCAGCACCTTCCCAAAGCTCAAAAGGCCTTGGCAAAAAAGCATCTTCTGTCGCCCATGCAAAAAATTTAGTTTGCTCTGTAGATTCCCGGAATGATCCTATTCCTTCTCAAAATACAAGCTTTGTTGAACTCAGCCTGACAGTCAGAGCTGTCAGGGTAATTTGAGGGTCTAAATCTGGAATTCAAAGGTAAGAAAAAAATGACAGAGAATGGAGGAAAAATACACTTTTTTCTTCTTCTTCTTTTTAAAGAAAGGAGCATTTATCAGCATCACAAAACTGGATAACACAGCCTCTCAGGAAGAGGACTGCAGAAGGTGTAACTCCAATCTGCAGTAAGAAACAAAGCTACCAAAATGTATAATGAGACATATTTGTGTTCTCTAATTACCTGAGGATCAAAAGAAACTGAACAGTAAATACTTGTGTAATGAATTGCAAGAAACAGAGGGATCAAATGGGAAACACCAAAAAGAAATTACATCAGAAGCAAGAGGAAGAAAAATTAAATAGAGAGCACTGCGTGCCTAGGACAAGGTTTAGAAAAGGTTGAATTGTTCAATGTTGAGAAGCATATTAAGGATCCCTACATACTTAGGACAATTTACTTTAATAAGGGAACAAACATAGAATTCAACACAGAAGGACTGGATTGTTGGAATATAGATACAGTAGGTCACCCCAGTGAGCAGTTATCTTCCAGAGAAATGGGGTGCTGGAGAAGGCTGGAGCAGTGCAGAGCAATCAGCCTTTACAATCAGGAAAGGAAAGCCCATCAACCTAAAAATCAGTACTTCCAAACTGACCCACTTTAAACTTTTCTGTGACCTAAGACCTCATGAAGTTAACGACAAGCCAGCACTGCCCGTCACTGATATCCTCCAAAGGTCAAGGTAGAAGTTCAAGAGTTAAATTGTATTTTCAGAAATCAGCATTGACTCCTCAGAAACCACTAACTAAAGAATATTCTCACCAGTTTCACTGCCCCTTCCTTTCAGATACACTGATTTATGGATAATATCTTTTTCTCAAGTCACCATCCTTTCCATTGTCAGCGGTGATGGGGAAAAAGGAGTGACTGTTTGGAGACTTTTTTTTTCCTCAGCCTGTTCCCCTCAGAGATTTACACTGTTTTCCCTGAGGGTGCCTCCAGCTTGTAGTCTTAATAACCACAGCAACATTCAGCAGTGGATATTTCTAGTAAGGTTTTATTACACCTCCAATAAATATGCCCCTAATAAATGTAAATACTCATTTCTGTCAGTAGTGGGCTCCCCCATCATCCTTGAAAATACAGATACAGCTGATCTGAAATAACTGGGAAAACAAGTTCCACTCTTTCTACAGAGAGCAATTGCCTTGTAGAAAAGTTAAGATCATACCAATTTTTCTTTTTTTTCCTAAAAATGCCTTTGGTAATTTCAGAACTTTTTTTACCTTTTACTAAGTTCCACCTGCTTTCTCTAACAATGAATCTGGCAGGAAGCTGTTTAAGAAAATAGACTGAAGTGGGAGGGGGATTGAACGCAATGAAGTGTAAAAGAGGAAGGAAAACACTGAACTGGAAGAGCATCTACATCATACTTACCGTTCTGGGCAGGGAAGCACGGGAGGAGCAGCAGACAGAGAGATGCAGTTGGGAGACTCGACATCCACAGCATTTTCAAAGGTCTCTTCAGTTGCTCTCCACAATCTGACTGATGAGTTAAATACCTGAGGAAAGGGGTGATGCCCCAAGCTGGCCTGTTGCCTTCCAGCTACATCAGCTCTCTACCAAAAGAAGTCAGCAGGAGGCTGCTTTTGCTTTTCTGTTCCAATGAATGTGACAGAGAGGTGTATCTTGATGTTGTCTTCACACTAGAACCGCCCCTGGTTTCCTGCTGCTGAGCAACCCCCAGCCCTGAGGGCAGGAGTAGAGAGCTGTCTATGGGGAGCACCCACATTCCCTTTGAAGACAACTGAGAACAGAGACACTCACTCAAATTTTCTCTTCACAGCGCCCAAGTCAGGCAGTTGTCCTTCAGTTGTGGCCTCACTGGAAATGTGGGTGCTTGGTACAACCAGTTCAGTCTGTCACTGTTCCCATGGGCTTAGATTGGCAGCTGCAAATGCAAAAGCCTTGGCTTCATAAGGAGCAAGGAGATGAGAGATGCTCTGTTACTTGAGGTAAACCTTCAGTTATTACACCAGCCCTGCACACAAACCAGCAGGTTTGATCTGCATCTTGGCAATGACAACGTGAATAAACTCCCAAGCAACAGCACAGCACATACCTCTCACGTGCCTCTGGCTTCACAGTTAACAACCCTTTCTGTGGTGTCTGCAGTGCACAAGAGCTGAAAAGCACCGGCAAAAGGGAACCAGCTACAGCTCACGTGTAGCTCCTGCTCCCTCCCCAGGACGATGAGAAGCTCTTCTGTGGGCACTGCTCTCCATGGGATCACAGAGGGGAAGGGGGTGTTCCCAAAGAATTTCTTGAACGCTTGAAAGCTCAGAAATTTCGTCAATTATTGCAAAGGAAACAGAGTTCAGGCAGGTTGGGAAATGAGCCTTCAAATTGCCCCACAGAGGCTCACTGTCGGTCTGGATATAAAGGCAGATGCCAGGAGACATCTCTTACTCCCTGTCTTTCCTTTTGCCCTAATTAAGAAATTAATCATGACAACAATACTGGATTGTGAGTTTGGGAATCATGGAATGGTGATGCTAATCAAGGAGATTAACAAACCAAATAACAATATCATCAACACAGGGTTCCCAAGGAATAGCCAGTTTTTAAGGAGATGTTTTATTGTCACTAGTGTAGTAACACAAATTGAAAACTGAGTCAAAAGAAGTTGCAGCTATGAAATTATGGCACTTGGTGAGTCAGGCATCTTAGTATCATTAGTGCTTTTTTTATTTCATAAGATGATCTTGAGGATCCCTTCCAACCCAACCCATTCCATAATTCTGTGAATAAAAATATTTGCCTGTGTACATTGCAAAGAACAAAGCACTTGCTGAGGACAAACCCTGTAGACACCTCCAGAAAACAGAGCACACAGCTGGAGATAATTCAGCTGGTTTAAAGCTCTGTTGCTGAGCCAGCCACACACCTTGTGAGGGCTGCTGTCCTCAGCCAAGCACCGGGAGAGGACGGGACATCCAGGGTGCTGCTCGTGCTGCTCGTGAAGGCCTGGGGCTGGACAACTGTGCAATCACAGTCCTCTGTGAACATGTGGATGTGGAGAAGATCATTTGTGAAAAACAGATTATTTGTGAATATGGAACCACGAGGTCTCATGGAAATCAGCCTCTGTTGCTTCAGCTGGTTGCTGTACATCAGGACAGAGGAAGATGCTGCTGGCATAGAGGTCTTCTCATTTGCAGATGGTTTTCAAACAAGTGAGGCTCTCCTCATCTGAAGCCTGTTTATGTTGCCTAAGGGCTGCAGAACTGAAAGAAAAATATCTGTGAGGCCAAAAAGGGCACAGGTTGATTTCAGTGAGAGTTGTAATGCAAATGCCCATATTAGGCTTGGAGATTTGCAGTGGGAAGTCCTCCAGGCACCTCCCCTGTCCCATCTGCTGCTGGACCACCTCTTGCTCTGAAAGCTAAAAACACATCTAGTCCTTCACTGAATACCCTCCTACCACTGTAGTACTGTGATTTCATCATTTACCCTAATTAAACTCCCAAAAGGGAAATTTAGGATAGAATCATAGAATTGTTTAGATTGGAAAAGATCTGAAGATCATTGAGTCCAACCTTTAACATTAGAGAGACAACAGTAAAAGATTTGATGGAATGCTAGGACAGTTTTAGGAAAACAACAGGGAAAAAGTACCAGCATTAGCAAGGACTTCTTTAGAAGAACTAAAACTAACAGACTTGCAGTTCTTCTTTCCCAATTTATGTTTATCTGCAATTACTGATCAGCTCACTGCTATCCATCTCAGACAGAGCCATAGGCCTTGTGTATCTCCACAGATCCCCACCAGGAATGGCAGGTGGGATGATTTGCCATATGACAGCACAGTTGCATCCCTATTCTGTATTGTAGCCCAACTATTTCTGGAGTAAGAGGTGGTTTAATATTATCTCATTTGAAGAACACAGTGGTCTCTGTGTTGGGAGGGAGGAGGGAAGAGCAGAGGGTAATACAGAGGAAGGCTGATATTTCCAGATTTCATTCACATGATTCCCTATTCACTCCACAGAGCCTATCCCAGCTATTTCCACCCATATTAGTTTGCAACACAAACTTCCCTCTTGACTGCACTTAGGAAAATATTTTCTCTTAAATTAAAAGTGGCTCTTTAGTGGGCAGAGCTGTGAGGGGGAACCATTCCCCTAAAGGACCTTTCAGCCCACACCTGGATGTCCATCAGTCTCCTGGGCTGGGACATGCCTCAGCAGGGGGAGCTGCACAGTCTGGGACCACTCCAGGATGCCACAGAGGGAAGGCTGAGCCCTGCCATTGCTTCCTCCTCCCTTCAGCAAGGAAGCAGTGAGGAAATTTATTCTGTGCTTATTTTACATAACAAACCCATCCAGACAACAAAATGGAGGTGAGATCCAGGAAGAAAACCCCATATGCTTTTCCCACTACCAGGTGTGGAACCCACAGGAAACCAACAATTTGTCAGACTGTACCTTTACCGGTCGAATGCCGCCAGTAGCAATAAATGGTGAGCACTGCTGCACAAAGTACAAAGAACGGCAGCGATATGAGGAAGATGCTGCTGGTGGAAAGTTCAGGATCACCTGGAGAGTAGGAGAAAATAAAGAGCAGCCCAGTGAATCAAGCAGGTATGCCAAGCCATGAGCCTGCCTCATAAGCACCACCCTGAGGAATGGAGCCTGGTACATGAGCAAAATCCCCCCCAACAGCTGGTAAAGAGAGAGGGAACCCGTGAATGAGAGAACAAACAACCTCTGGCTCAGGATATCTTAAAGCAGATACCTGTAACAGTGCTGACTTCATCAGCATTCAAAGCTGATTCTTGACTCCCCACCACAACAGATACCTATTAACCTTTTCCTCATCCGAAAAACCCTAAACCAAGGGGTGTGAGAGCCATCCTTAATGATGGGTTCAAAGGCCATTAAGGAAATTCACTTTGACTGGTTTCTAAAGACCTGTTTGTCCATGACCTGAGGAAGACAACAGGGATTTCCACCATGAAAGAAATCTGAATATAAACATAACTTTATGTGACTTAGCCTGGAAGCAAAGTCTCATTTATCACTTACTAATAAGGGAAATTCCTGGGAACTTGTTGCACACCCATCATGTACCACCTTCCCTCTGCATCCCTGTATCTATTGCTCCATGTAAAGCACTATTCACATCAAGCTCTCTGGGCAAAACACTCTCAAAATAAAGGGAAAACAAACATGTGGAGAGACTAACTTGGAATTTCTTTGCCAGGGTTGTCAGCTGTTGATTTTCTGGATTCTGCACTTGACATTTCAGGGTAGCAATTCAATGTAGAGCTGGACTTCCAGACATTTGTTTCTGCTTTACAGCAAATTTTATTCTCCTCCATACTGTTACTACCTCTCTCATTTTCTGGGAAAGCTGAAAGATAAAAGAAGATTTCATTATAAATACGGATCAGGATCTTCAATCAAGGGTTAAAAAGGCTGAAGAGGTTCATAGGTTGAACAAGTGGATCATGTAGCACAAAAAGGTGGAAACTGCCATGACTGCTACAAGTTGGATATGTTTAATTCCCCAGCTGTTTAAATCAGCTACCCACATTTAGATTTCCTCCTCACTAAAGCTGATGAACTGTTCTGTGAACCAATAATGGAAATACTCATGTTACAAGAAGGCAAAATGTTCTCACATCTAACTAAGAATACCAAAACATTTGTAAAAAGCTTAGCATTACCTTTATGCAATTAAAATTGATTTAAATAATAATTATGACAAAATTTTGCAGTTTCTGATCCACTGTGAAATTTTGCCCTCTTGGAGCCACCTGCTACACATACTGACAAGTGTTTTAATCTCTGATCTTGGCAGTTTTGTGAGAAAGCTGGAAAGATGCTCCTGGGGATTCATTGAATCCTACAGAAGAGCAGCACAAAACAGCTCTTTAGGCTAGACCTGGCTCTCAGTTTAGTTCTGACTGAAGCAGGTGGGATTCATACATTGTAAACTGACACAGAATTTGGCCATGAGAATAGCTGTTGCAAAAACAAACAACAAAAAAAGTACCTATATAAATCAGAGTAACATGCATTTATCTGAATCTCTATGAGTGTAGTTTTAAGCAGTGTTGACATAATTCATTTTTCTGACTTAATGACTTTTTTTAACCAGAATAAACTAATTTTGTCAAGTTAGTTTACTAATTAACATCACTGTCTGCATACCTGTAGAATTCAGGATGGCACACGAGTGTCCTAATCCCCCGGGTTTTATCCAGAAGATGCCATAAATTCCTTCAGGAAAAGTATTTGCTTGCTGAAAGCACATGAGGATGTGTGTTTCCCCAGTCACCAAATCAATTATTCCATTTGAAAACACCTCGTTTTCTGTTTCAGCGATTTTTATAAATCTTTCAAAACTGCCTGTTTCACATTTGCTGATTTCACAGTCTTTACAGCAGTAGACTGTCACAGTTGTTTTGCCAGAGGAAGAGTCGTGGGTCCTCTCAGCAGGGTGATCACTGGCCATGGCAACATCTAAATGAGAAAATAAAGAAAAAGCATTTTCTGCTGGTTTACTCCCCCCATGTTGAGTGTTAGAGAATGGGATGAGTTTTGGTGGACATGTGCAGTTATGGCTTAGGAGACATTGTCTGCCAATTGTCAGATTTTACACAGTATTGGGGCCAGTCCACAAGGTAGTCTGGGAGTAGAAATAGGACATAATTTCCTTACTGCTGCAACTGTTTTAAACCAGGAAGTTGGCATCTTGGAAAGTCAATTGAAAGGCTTTTCTCTTGCTGAGCTCTGATGAATCACCTGTTCTTGTTTCCTTTCCCTCCCAAGTCCTTGGCACAATCCTGTCAGGTGTCCCTCCAGCAGACTGCCAGATCCCAAGACCAGTAAAGTCCACAGCTGCCAGACTACACACACTGGATGCAGTGTGCCAGATTTACTCAGCCAGACTCTCCTGGGGAAAAGCCAGTCCTTCAGGAGAGGACTTGCCTCATCTGACATCAGACAGACCCAAAGAGTCACCCCTCCCAAAACAGGGGGCTGTGACATGTCAAACGAATCCACCTTCACCCTAATTTCTTTTCTCACCCTAGAGGAGTTGTGGTCTTAGTTTTAACTGGGCCACAGCTGAGCTTTTCAATAACAGCTAAAAGTTGTTAAGCTACTGATGTGCAAGGAAAAGCACTGAGGTCATACAGGGAGACTCACTTGGACAGGGAGCTGCAATAGCCAGGAGCAGGAAACCCAACCCCATGAGGTGGGGAGAGCCCATCTGGCTGCCCTGGGTGTCAGCTCCAAAGGTGCTGGATGTTCTCCAAGACCCTCTGTGGTCCCAGGTCAGGCTCACCAGGCTCCTCCCTCGGTCTCCTCCCTGTTGGGACATTAAATGCAATGTTTAGCATCTGTTATATCTTATTATCTTTCTTCAGACAAAAAGAAATCAGCTGCCAGGCCAAGTGCTGTAAGGCTGCTCCTGGCCAAAACATCTGGAATGGAAGGAATGGAAGGCAAAGGAACACTCGTGCTGCTCAGCTGTTCCTGCAATGGCTTTTGCAAGTGCCAAGCTCACACCCCTTTCCCCCTCTGGCTCAGTCACAGCAGTAGAAGACACGTGGTCCTTCTGCAGGGAAAAGGAAATCCCTCCTGAGCCTGTTGGGCAGGAGGTTCCATGTCCAGGTCCCCCAGGCTCCTCAGAGCAGTGGCCCTGCACACATCCCTCAGCAGCACATGTGACAAATAACAGCCCAACTCTCTGTCGCTTCCAAAACACACCAAAACGTTAGATAAAAAATATAATTTGTGCTGAATGTTTCACTTGACATAAGATGTAATATTTATTGTCAAATTGAACTCTGTTTTTAGTTTAGAAGGTCCGACAGGAAATATCGATTCAAATCATTTCAATGAAACTGTCATGACTTGGTGAAATATGTTTTAGTAAAATACAAGTTTCACTTTCCAAATAAGAAAAAAGGAAAAATGAAAGAAATTCAAACTTTCTTTATCAGCCTGGCTCTGGAAAACAGAAACTGCTTTGCTCTTGGGAGCTTTTCATTAGAAGCTTTCATTAAACAACTTTTTTGCTGTCACCACCTGAGAAGTACATTGAGGAAATTTCTGAATTAATTATGCATTAATTCTTCAGTAGAGGTTAATAAATGCTTGTCTCTCATGGTCTGTGCTAATTTAAGGTTGCTGAGAGTTCCACCCCAAAAACAGATGATACAGGAGAAACACAACCCCCAAGACAAGCCCATTCCAGCTGCCAACAGGCACAGGAACCAGCTGCACAATTTCCCCTGGAATAAAAGGTGGGACACCTCTGCAGTGCCTCAGGCTATTGACAGCCACACACAGGATGTAAACCCGGGAAATGCTGGACCGAGCCGCGGTCCTGGCACTGCTCCACACGCACCTTCCAAGGCGAGACCCGTCCACTTCCACTTCACACCACACGAGGGACCAGGGATTCCACTTTACACACAGAGCTCCCGATCACCTGCACAGTCCTGCAAGGACTTCCTCTTTGCCCCACCAAGGATTAACAACAACCTCTTCTCATCCTCTTCCTGTAAGTCCAAAAACGGATCCTATCCTTTTTTCTTTTCCAAAAGCAGGTCATTTGGTGCCATCTCACTTTATCCTGTCTCCTGCTCTGCAAGGCACCAGGTAACAATGCCTGTAGCCTCCTCCCTTAAGGGACAGCAGAGTGCCAAGGGACTGTCACCAACCTTAAAATCACAGAATCATTAGGTTGGGAAAGACCCTTAAGAGCACAGAGTCCAACTGTTATCCCAGCGCTGCCAAATCCACCACTAGCTCATGTCCCTTAGTGTCACATCTACGTGTCTTCTGAGTCCCTCCAGAGTATTTATACCCCAGAGCATGTTCACCTCACAGAACAGCTGCAGCACATCTGGCAGAATTATTTGCCCAGAGGTTAAGGTTTGTTTTTTCCCAAGTAGTTGTCAGTCTGAGGTCTGTACTTTCTATCCTCAATCATTTTGTCTTCTTTTTAGTGGTCTTTTTGCCCCTCCCCTCGTTCTGCTCAAGGAGATGTTTCCCTCCCTCTCCCCTCTCACGGTGAAATTCTGTCCCAGTTCCCACTCTCCCAAAAGCCAGAACACTGTCCACCAAATCTCTCTCCCCTCCTACTGGCCTGTCTCAGAAATCCTCTTTTTAGGCTGGTTTCTGAGAGTCTTCAACTGTCTTGGCCACCTCCTGCCATCAGTTTTAAACTTACTTCATCAATAAAACACTCAAATCTAAACCGAAACATGCTCTTTGGATAGAAAATATTTTTCATCCATTTTTTGGCCTGCTTCCCTTTCTTTTCCAAGTAAAACAAACTTTCCCTTTTCAGAGCTACTGAAGTCGTCTGCAGAGCTGTAACAGAGTAAAGCCAGACCCTAAAAGCAGATCACCTGCAAGCAGTAGATGAGTAAAGCAACAAGCAGGAGGGTCTGGACTTCCTTCGGTGAACAGCAGCCACTCACACCCAGCTGACCAGCTCTTCCTCAGGTCAGACCTGATCCATTAACCTGAGACCCCAATATTTGCCAAGAAAGAAAGTCACTCATTAATGCAATAGCATCGCTCCCACTCCCAATGTCCTCTCTCAAAGTTAAAAGTTAACTGACCTGAACAGTTAAGAGACCTGAGATACTCTCACACGCTTCTTGTGCTTATTCCTACTCCAGCACAAGTTAAACAGCTCACTGCCCTTCCAGTGTGTGCTTTTGTGCTTTCTGACCTCTGCCTTTGGCACAGCTTCAGCAGGGACCCCCAAGGTGACCAGAGCAGAGCTGTGGTGGGGGATCACCCCAATCCCAGCCTCGGGGGCTGGCAGAGCAGGGCTGCTGCCCCAGGGTTTGGATGTGCTTCCCTCTCCAGCCAACCATTAAGCACAGTCATGGACCCACAAAATCCAGTGCTGTTCTCCAGCTGTAAACAATGCAAAACATTTTCTAAAAGGTTTATTTGGTACCCCAAGGATCCCACGGAGAATGCTTAACTTTCAATCAGTTTGGAGAAAATAATACTACTGAAGGAAGTAAGGCTGCAACAGAAGAAACCTCAAAGAACTTCAGAAGATCCTACAGATTTTATTTTCTACTCTAAGTTCTTTCACAGAAAAGGAGAAGTATTTACATAAGAGATGATTTTTCTATCACTTTCTGTACCAGTTTCACTCTTCGATTTCCTGAATACCACTCTCAACGAGCCTTTACAGGAAAAAAATCAACAAAATGTAATCATGGGAAGGGATGAAACAGCTCTTTCCTGAGTGAGCCTAGGAGTGCAGTTTGTTTCTACAGCTCCAACAAGCCAGTGCAGAGAAAGCAACCAGCAGGATGTTGTGGCTGAGCTGAGAAATCTCTGCAAAAATCCTGAAAGTGAAGCACACTTTGGCTTCCCACCAACTGCTCTGAAAATAAAATTCCACAGTAACCATTAGAAAACATTACTAACTTTTTTTATGCTTGCAGCACCTTAGAAAGAGTAGAATGGTTTGGTTCTGTTTTGTTCCCTTCGGAACCCAGAGCCACCAGGCTGGGGTTTTTGTTGCTTGATGAAGCTGTTGGGTTTCTGCACTCACACAATCAGTGTGAATTCAGTGCAGAGCTGCGTGGAAGTTGCCAGCCAGGGTTACAGAAGTGGAGTTAGTAAGAAAGATCAAGAGCACCAGGAACACACATTCTTCCTTACAAAGAAAATGTGCAGCACATTTAACACTTCCCTCCTGCCACAGACATTCTAGTGCCCGTTTCTAAATGTCTGCTTAAAAACCAAGAAGCAGGAATTTCTAAGAGAATAGCCTGACTGTAAGACAGGACCCCTTAAAGAAGAAGACAGTGTGAGTACCTCAAAAGCTGTGTTGCCTGAGGATGCTTTCGTGCCTCTTCCATTCCCTTCTCCGAGGGCCTGAGCAGTTCTTTCCAACTCCCAATCATTCAGCTCCTCTTGCAGAGCCCTGCACAGCAGATGCAGAAGTCACTTGGATCCCAGAGAAAAAGGCACGCTGCTGGCTCCTCCTTCTTTATAATGGATTTTCACTTTCACTTTTCCCTTATGGACTGAGGTCAGCACTATCACGGAGCGATGCAACAAGGCAAGCCCACGCTGCTGCGTGGGACTCCGCAGTTGGAAAGCATGGGAAAAACAATCACACCTCACAAAAAACCTCCCAGGAACCTGCTGGTGGGTACCTGGGCAGAAACTCTGTCCCTCTGGGCATTGCAACAGCAATGTAAAAGAGTGGATTTGAGATCTGCTCCTGAGTCTGGCACTGCTTTGGCACTGCAGGGGGTCCCAGGGCAGGAGAATCTGAGGTGCTGAGCTTGGTTTGTGCCCTGGCAGGGAGCAGGGCTGAAGGGATACCCTGCTAGAATGCACACCAGGGCAGCAGCAGCACTTCTGCTGTTTGATTGAAGCTGTGTCCATCACAAGCCAATGGGACCAGAGGGAGGGCAGAGGCAAACCAAAGGAACCCCTGATGAGCATGATATGATAAATTCAGCTGGCTCTGGCACCGTAGGACAGGGACGAAAAGTTCAGTGCCCGTAAGCACAGGGGACAGATGAAGGTAAAATCTTGCTGCTTTCTTATCTCTGTTCTGGGCGGGGTTTTTTAGGGTAGCAAGGAGGCAAGTCAAGCTATCCAAGTTGATTTCAACTATCATCAAAGCAATACAAGATTATAACCTCTGCCTTATTTACCACTGCCTTTGGCACGCATAACAAGCTTTTCTCCTCCCTCAGCATTGCCCTGCAGTTCACAGTCCCCCTGGGCAAGGTGTCCCACAGCCAGTCACAAGCAGCACTCCCCGGCTTGGGCTGCCATAAACTTTATCTGGATCTAAAAACAGCAATGTTTCCTCTAAGTACACAGTCCACCCTTTCACCAAGATACTTTCTCATTACACTTTGTCCCTGTTTTCATCACATGACCCACAGACCGAAAGGTCCAAACGTTTGCAGACTGTGCTCCAAGAAGAAACCAGTGCTCCTGCAAGGATTAACGTGCTTGCTCTGTCCTAAACACTGCAGCACCTGGTCCCTGGCAGCAGAAGAGGTGGAAGCTGAGCCTAGGCAGACACAATTTCAGGGGTTTATTTGGCAGAGCTTGCACCACATCTTCTGGTGGTGAATTAAGTATGTGTTAAAATAGGAAAAAATATGAGCTATTTATGCCTTCAGCAAGGATTTTCCCCTTCTCCTACTTACCCAGAAACTCGAGGGAGAAATGAGCCAGGAGACATGAGATGAAGATCAAATGCTGTGAGCACAGAAGAACCTAGAGTTTTTGTGAGCTATATGCATGACTACGAGAAGTGGTTTGGGCTTCTATTCCTTTCTGCTTCAAGCAACTGTTACTTTTTTTTTTTTTATATGTCCTATTTCAAGTTCCAGGAAACTGAAAGCAATAAGGTAGCCCAGGGATTTAGCCCAAGTCTCAGCATTAACAGTCATTGTCCCATTATACCTTTGGTCTCAGTATGTTTTGTCATTGGTTTTGCCTTCAAACCCTCACTTACCTACAACACCTCTGCTTTCACATTTGTGAGGGATTCCCTTCCTAATCTGGAACATCAAGAAAATAGACTCTGAAGTAATTTATGGCTGAAAGATAAAAATTATAAGCATAACATCTTATGACAACCATTGTGGTGTCATAAAATGATCTTTCTTGCCAAGTAATTCACCAGCCAGGCACAAATTAAACCAGGATCCAAAGCCATCTGTGAAAGGAAACTAAAACAAGTTCTTAGAACTATTCTTGCTTAATACCAAAACTAGCTGCTACACTTTTTCTTTTAATAATAGCAAACAAGTACCATAAAATAGAAACTGCAATTTAAATGCAGAACCTGATCCACGTTTTCTTTGATTACTCCCTGAAAAAAACACCTTAACAAGCCTTTGTTTCTCCACTGCTAAACAGGAGAAACAGGAATAGGAAATCCTTTTTTTCCTGAAACATCAGCTGTCTGAGACCATATGACAAAGTACAAAAGTTAACAGGTTTTTGTTTCCAAATCTCACTTACCTGCAATATCGCTGTTTTTGTCTTCGTGAGGGACTCCCTGGCTAATCTGTTACATCAATAAAATAGTGCATGAAGCAATTTATGGCCATGATTTAATAAGGAGAACCATAAGTTTTTATGACAATGAATGCAGTGACAACAGCGACCTTTATTGCCAAGCAGTTCACTGGCTAAACATCCACACAGCACCAGGCAGCTGCTCATGCAAGGAAAGGTAAAGCTTTCCTCAGGCACAGATCTTCAAGATTCACCAGATGCAGCAGCTCCCTCAGGTTTCCATATCATCACAGGAGTAATTTGGTTGCTCGGGTCAGGGCTGCAGCTTCTGTATTAGAGAAATGCTCCAGTGTCAGGACATTTGGCTACCATCACACTCACCTTTGAGGCTCAGGGCATTAAAGACATATTACCTGTTAAGACCCCGTGTGATAATCACGCACACAAAGCTGAATTAACATCACACCTTGGTACATTCCTACATCTACTTCCCCCCTGCCTACCCTGAGCTTTAGTCCAGGCTGCCACCTTCTCTCTAACAGGGTGCTTTGGCTCAGGCTTTTCTAGCTTCTACCCCATCCCCCCTCCCTTCAGGTCAAAAACCAGCAGAGCATGACCCAAAGGCAGTCGGAGAAAACTGCGCCTTCTGCAAGTGGATGCTGGAAAATTACAAGTATTTTAGGGCTGCCAGCAGTGTCCCATTGATAGGCCAAGCACAGGGCATCCTCCTCCAGCTCCCTCTGGCCAGGGATCCCCATTGCATGGCAGAAATGGTACCCAGGATTTCTATGTCTACCCCTTGTCTAAGGTCTCCTTTAGGGTAACATCTTGGTATATAATCCTCACATACATACCTTACTGGTGACATAAATTTATACATTTTAAGTGTTATTGGATTAGTTCTCCTGCCCCTAAGAAAGCCTTGGTTTAACATCTTATGCCCCAGTGGCATATTGAGATATACAGTGGGCTGTAAAACACCTCCTCAGCTGAAAAACTGGTTTTGTAATAAATACTTTGACTGACAGCCCTCTGACTTCATTATATCAACAAAAATCATACACCATATCTTGCATTAGTTAATCATCCGTAGATTTTTAAAACTAGATCCTCCAAGCAGCCTGTCAATGGAGACACACAGCTTTCTTCTAAAACACCTCAAAGAAATTTGATATTTCCCTGGCCATCTTTTCCTAAAACACAGGTATATTTAGAGAGGGCTTAATGCCCTTTGGGATAAGCTACACCTGCTTGCAGATTTGCCCCACAGCCAGCAAGCCCACCCGGAGTGCACTGGAGCCCCAAGCAACCTTGGCAGTGCATTCAGACAGACTCACAGACAGACAGACAGCCTACCCATCAGCACATCAGCCAAGCTCAGGGGCCTCAGACCCTGCTCTTTGCCCTAGAGATGGAAATCACAGTCCACAGTCCAAGGCCAGGGCCGAACCGATACCGTGACAGGCAGCAGATTAGATGAGACTGCTGATAACGGGGTACCAGGCACCAGCACCACTGGGGGTTACAGCCCATCCCACAGCAGCTCTGACTCCCTGGGCCAAGGAGCTCCAGTAAAACCAACTGAATCTTCTCTTCCTCTCCCCTCACTCAGACTATTTTTCTTCTCAGTGTTTGCTTTCTGTTGCAACAGGAGCACTCAGCTAACCTCTAAGTTTGCTTTCGACTTCAGGGCCGCAGGGGACATTTACAGGCTGGGTTGTTGCCACATCATCCGAGTGTGGGGACAGGAGCTCTTCCCTCCTGCCCCCACCAGCAGTGGGTTTGCTGCAGAAGCTGTATCTTGGCCCTCCCAACTCACTCCTCACCAACCTGGAGGCTGCACTTCTGCCCTCCCAGTTCTGTGACTCTCTCCATGCCCAGCCTTGTTCCTGCTCACCATGTGACTTCCATGAATCTGCTCACTCTCCCAAGCGGAAAATTTAATCTCTCTGCTTCCTCTTGTAGCCTATGACAGCCAACAGCCCAATCTTGTGGAAGAGTCACTGCTGAGGAACATTTGCAACCAGCCCCACACTCCTTCCCCTATTTATTGTATTCTGAACTGCACAGACAAGGTTTAATTAAGTGCACGTGTGGTTATTGTTGCTTTACCATTGTCTCCTGACTGGACGTGATCCATGCAGCCACAATAAAGCTGAATCCCAGAGAAGTAACACAGGAATGATTTAAAGCCAGGTGTGTTGCTGCACACAAAAGCAGCGTAGAGGTCATTTTTCATTGTCTGGGAAAGTCGGGCTCGCACATTTGGAACCAAAACTGAAAGCACTTCCAGATTGTTACACAGGCAGTCTGTGGGAGAAAGAGACAATGAGCAAATTATTTCAGTTCTCCAAAACAGAGGCTTATACAGTGTGAGACAGGATGGGGCACAGAAGGAGGCAGCTCCTAATGACTGATACCCCAACTTCAGGTTCTTTGTTCTTAGAACCCCATCTCCTGGTATCCTTAGGGGACTGAATCTCACCAAAAGTTTCACAGATGTGAGAAAACCGGGGTGCAATCCTTGCAGTCCCAGCACAACAAGGATTAATTCACCTTCTGCCAGCTAAATTTACTGTTTGTTTGCACATCCTTGCCCTGCCAGAGGCCAAACTGCCTGCAGCAGAAGGATTGGATTTTCCTTTTGCAAGAGGAAATGCTCACATAGAGCAAAAGCAACTGTAAGCTGTTAACCTTTCCCCGTCTTTTATCAGACAGAGATTATGTCTCTGAAGATGAACTGCAGCAACAGCTCTGCTGTACTCCAGCCTTGGCAACAACAGCCCTGGCCACATGTTTTTAGTTTTGTTCCCTTCCACCAGTACAGAGGGTGGAAAAAAGGCAGCTACAGTTTCCCTTGGGAACATTTATTGAACACTTGTGGCTTGGCAGCCTGGAAAATTCGTACACTCAAAAATATAAGCATGTGAAAAGCAGACATATGAGAAG